ATTGCAACGGCTTCTCAAGGCCTGAACCTGGTCCGGCCTCCCGCCTGGACTGCAGCTGCAAGCCACGCCCCTCCGGCGCCGGTCCCTGGTCCCGCCCCGTGTGGGCGTGCCCTGCTGGGGGCGTGGCCCGACCGAGCGTCCTGGGCTTCTCTAAACCCCAACCTTCCAGCCTGCTGTATTCTGGGTGGGATGCGCCCCAAGGCCTGATCCGTGAAGCCCCGGCTGTGTCGAGGGTACCCCTAAAGAGGAAGACGGGTCGGAAGACCCAGATCATGGAGATGGTGGTGCTTTTGAACGATTTCTAGGTTTGGGAGCTGTTTTCCCCACTCTGGGGAAACACACAGCTGTTAGCTATACCTATCTCCTGAAATATACATTCCGTGTTAAATCTACCCTGGGGTGGATTTCCTGACACGCAGAATATGCAAATATTCAACTTTATAAAATCATGTTACTTTGCATTTTAACATTCTTGAGATTCAATGTACATTTCACACCGTGTCAGTCACCAAACTGGAAAACTTTGTTGCCATCTGTTTTTTTTCTCTTGTTATAGAGTGCAGCCAGTGATGGTAGAAGTCTCTTCAAAGTCTCGCTTTATTGCTCCTTCACCTCTCTTTGTATATTCTTCCCCCAGGTCCTAATTAGGCAGAATATTGGATACAGATGAATCCAATTAGTCCAGGTGTTTTTAGCTACAAGCCCAGTTCCTGTTCCTGCCCATCCCAACGAGCACTAATCAACTCCTTAGCCCACAACACTGAGGTATTCGCTCCTGCCCACCTGTGACTCACCTATCAACTGAGAGGGGACAGTATCTCATTGCTGTGTAACCACTCCCCTCACAAGCCCCTTTAAAAGGCCCATGGCGGGAGGGGGCTCACTCTCCTTCTGGCCAGGTGCTTCTGTTACTCTGGCACCTTGACTCTTGGCTGACCCAGGACAGGTGACCCCCTGTGCATGGTCCCTGTGTACTGCTTAGATGGGACAATGGATATATTCACATTGTTTCTGGTTTGTGTGCTATCGGGAGTTCCAGGAGGGGTGAGGCCTGGCAGTAGTGGAATGTGGGCAGAGAAGCCAGGGAAAGGTGAATGTCTGCAGCTTTTGTGTCCAGGTTGTTTGTTGCATGTCTCTTAGGATAACTTATGCTGTTGGGGAAGCTGGGACATAGGTCTTGAGCTTAACAGATGGACTTAAGGGTAATGACCATTTGTTCCCCCTTGGGATTATGATTGGTTGGATTGCCATATGGACTTGTGATTTGCTATTTCTAGTATGCTCTATTATCATTAAGCTTGGTTAATGAAGACTCCTTAATAAAACCTTAGACTTATCTGGTGTGATCTCGCTCACACACCGTAACTTTTAAATTCTGATTTCACTGCCAAGCCACATTCCCAGCATAACATGTAGATCTAAGTCATTACATGTTTAATTCTGAAAGAATCACATGAACAAAACTGTTAATTTTGGATGCTTTAATATTAAACCATCACGGCATTAGTAATAGAGTAAAAATTACAGGCCCAGCATGGTAGCATAGTGGCTAAAGTCCTTGCCTTGCTTGTGCTGGGATTCTATATGGGCGCTGGTTCATGTCCCAGCTGCTCGATTTCCCATCCAGCTAATTGCTTGTGGCCTGGGAAAGCAGTTGAGAACAGCCCAAAGGTACTGTGCACCCAAGTTGGAGATCTGGAAGAAGCTTCTGGCTCTTGGCTTCAGATTAGCTCAGCTCCAGCAGTTGTAGCCAGTTGGGGAGTGAGTCAGTGGATAGAAGATCTTTCTGTCTGTCTCTCCTTCTCTCTGTAAATCTGACTTTCCAATAAAAATAAATAAATAGGGACCAGCGCAGTAGCCTAAGGGCTAAAGTCCTCACCTTGAACACACCAGGATCCCATATGGGCATCCCATATGGGGACTAATCCCAGTGGTCCTGCTTCCCACCCAGCTCCCTGCTTTTGTGGCCTGGGAAAGCAGTCAAGGACAACCAAAGCCTTGGGACCCTGCACTCATATGGGAGACCTGGAGGAGATTCCTGGCTCCTGGCTTTGGATCAGTGCAGCACCGGCCACTGCAGTCACTTGGGAGTGAATCATCGGACGGAAGATCTTTCTCCCTGTCTCTCCTCCTCTCTGTGTATCTGCCTTTCCAATAAAAATAAATAAATCTTTACAATAAATAAATATTTTTAAAGTGCATTTAGAATGCACTTGGTCTCTCACATGCACTACCAGAGGATCTGGGTTCAAGTCTCAGCCTTGCTTTCAATTCCAGATTTCTCCTACCATGCTCCCAAGCAGGCAGCAGAGGGCTGTTTACGTATTACGTGTTTCCTTTCCTGCAACCCACGTGGAAGACCTGGATTGAGTTCCAGGCTCTTGACTGTGGCCTGGTCCAGCCCTGACTATGATGGGCTTTTGGGTAGGAAATCAGCCTTTCAAATAAAATCGAAATAATTTCTTTATAATTACTTGGCTGAGGCTAGCCTTGCATACACTGGGTAAGCCACCACTTGCTGTTTGGATCCCAGCTGTTCTGTTTCCATCTATGAATGCACCTGGGAGTTAGCAGATGCTGACTCAGGTGGCTCCCTGCCCGGGGGTGGCAGACCCAGATGGATTCAGAACTGCTGGCGTGTTGTGTTTTGGTTAAAGTTTGAAGCACCATCTGCAATGCTGGCATCCCGTATGGAGTGGTGCTTCAAGTCCCAGCTGTTCCCCTTCCTATCCAGTTCTTGATCTATGGTCTGGGAAAGCAGTGGAGAATGGCACAGGTGCTTGGGCCCCTGCACCCACATAGACCAGGTAGAAGCTCCTGGCTCCTAGCTTCAGATCGGTTCAGCTCTGGTCATTGCGGCCATTTGGAGAGGGAACAAGCAAATGGAAGATCTTTTTATCTCTCCTCTCTCTGGGAATCTGTCTGTCAAACAAAAATAAAGGTAAAGCTTTAAAAAATAAAATAAAATAGCACTTAGCAGAAGCTAGGAAACGGGGCGGGTGAAACAGTTGAGTGGAGTGATGGCTGAGTGTTTGGCAGGCTACGGGGCTGTATGAAAGCTGGAAGACGGGAGCTGGGAGACACCAAACACTCCATTCCTGATAACTGTCTGGTTTGATTGGGTTACGATGTGTTAATGTGTTGAAATATTGACTGCAGTTGCAACCATCTCTGAAAACACAATAACTCTGCCACAAAGTCACAGAATCCAATATAAGCCACAATATCAACTTACTAATTTTAAAATAATACGTGCCTTTCCAACCACTCTGACATTCAGATTTGTCCAAAACATATTGCTGGGGCCCGGCGCGGTGGCGCAAGTGGTTAAGGTCCTCGCCTTGCACGCCCAGGATCCCATATGGGTGCCGGTTCTAATCCCGGCAGCCCCGCTTCCCATCCAGCTCCCTGCCTGTGGCCCAGGAAAGCAGTCGAGGACGGCCCAAAGCTTTGGGACCCTGCACCCGCGTGGGAGACCCGGAAGAGGCTCCTGGCTTCGGATCGGCATAGCATCGGCCGTTGCGCTCACTTGGGGAGTGACTCATCGGACGGAAGATCTTCCTCTCTGTCTCTCCTCTCTGTATATCTGCCTTTCCAATAAAAAATAAATAAATAAATAAACATATTGCTATACACCTTCAGGGTCAGATATGAACTATCCACCAGAGATTTGCTACATGGCAATAGACTCCTGGGACAGAGGCATGGTTACATGCACAACATATTTCGTGTGGTTTCAAGCGTAGCTGATTTTAACCTTCTTTCCGGAGAGGGAACATTTTCTTTGTTTTTTTAATTATTTATTTCTTTTTATTGGAAAGGTAGGTTTACAAAGAGAAGGAGAGACAGAGATCTTTCGTACAAATGCTGGTTCACTCCCCAGGTGGCACGACGGCCAGAGCAGAGCCTCTACCTTCAAGCACTGAGGTCACACACAGGCACAAGCTCGTGTCCCAGGCGCTCCACTTCCATCCAGCTCTGTGCGTGTGGCCTGGGAAAGCAGTGGAGGATGGCCCAGAAGAAGCTCCTGGCTGCTGGTTCCAGATTGGCTCAGTTTTGGCCGATACGGCCATTTGGTGAGTGAACCAGTAGATGGAACATATTTCTGTCTTTCAACTCTATAAATCTGACTTTCTGATAAAAATAAATGAAAATCTTAAGAAGGAAAAAAACTCTATCTGCTTACTCCCTCTCCAGAACCAAAGAAGAAAGCAGAAAGTGCTGTTCCTACTCTGTAAATGTCAAATGCTCAGGGTGGTGTAAAATCCCCACAGGCTACAGCCTTGGCCAAAGGGTACTTTTGTGAACTGGCTGCTGCCCAGGGGCTATGCTTTCAACAGGAAACAACCCAGAAAATCAAGATGACAGGAAAAATTATCCCAACAGATACAGTTTGGGTTGAAAAAAAAAACAGTATCAGCACTTACATTCAGAAAAATTGTATCAATTATTTGTGAACATTCTTATGTATTTGATAGATAACTTTTATGCACCCCTCAAGGATGAGGAGCACAGCCTCAGGGTCGGGCCCAGCCAGATCAGGTCAGACTTGGGAGCCGGGATTTCAATCCAGGTTGTTCACATAGCTGAGCCATCAACCTGCTGGCCCCCAAGGCCTGCGTCAACAGGTAGCTGGAATCTGGAACAGCACCGGGCATCATACCCCATCATTCAAATATGGAACACTCATGACCCTATTAAATACGTAATGAACCCCTCTTGCGTGGCCCTTCACTGGGGGCACAATCGAGGCTCGCCAAGGGATGCGGTCCACACTCACAGCTCTCTGAGGTGCCTGTGATCCTGCCCGGCGCCCCGGGAATCCTTCGGGCTCCCCACCCACTCTGGGCCCGGCCCCGGGGAGGCGGGATCTGAGGCGGGAGGGGCCGCTGCGGACTGCCGGGCGGCGCGCGCGCGCACGGAGGAAGTGCCGTTTTGGCGACTGCCGCCTGCGCCGGGGACCGCGCTGCCGGGGCGTGGGGTGGAGGGGATCCGGCGCGATGTCGTCCCGGCCCGGGCGCGACGAGCCGAGGGCAGGCGGTGCACGGAGGCCGCGAGAGCCGCACGAGCAGGAGCTGCAGAGGCGCCGGGAGCAGAAGCGGCGGCGGCACGACGCGCAGCAGCTGCAGGAGCTCAAGCACCTTGAGTCCTTGTGAGTCCTCCCCGGCCCTCGCGCCGCCAACGGCGGGGCCTGCGCTGGGCTGCCCGCGGCCGCCGGGGCCCGGCCCTCTGGAGGCGCATCAGGAGCCCGTGGCCAACCCTCGCCTTGAACTTTAAGTTCTCCCTTACTGGGGGAACGGCTGGCCACGGCCTGGAAGAGGAGGCCACGCAGGCCGGATCGGCCTGGGGCTCCCCTCCGGGGGTGGTGTAGGGGAAGCAGCTCGGAGTTTTGGGGGCTGCCCTCGGTGTTTGTGGACCCGGCCTGCTGGTCCCTGCTGGTTCCCGGTTGAGGTCAGCGATTCCCCGCTGTGAAATGGGGAGAGATCGCACACTGTTTTTATTCCTGTGTTGGCGCAAAGGGAAGAAGATGGGAAACAGCAGAGAAACGGGCTTCCGAGCTGGACTGAAGGATTGTACGAGCTGCGGTGCAGCACGAACTTGGGGCCAGAGGCTTCTGTTCCGGGATCAGTGTAGTCTGACCCAGGCTCCCTGCCTGTGCTCTGCCAGCTCCAGGGAAGCTCCAGGAGGGAGTTCCAGGTAATCTGAGAGAGAAAGCTGTAAAGATCAGGAAATGGCCCCTCCCGACTGCCCTTTTCGGGGCTTCGGCTGGACTACAAGTTGGCAGAAGACAGGTCAGCAGTCTTGAATTCTGTACCCAGGCGCAGGATTGTGGCAAAGCAGGAGATTCGAGGAAAAGTCAGGGTGTAGGGATTGGAGGTTTCTAGGCCAGTGGGAAACCCGTGGGGAGGAACTGTGAGGTGAGTGGGGTGGCCCTGCAGGCAGGGAAGTCTGAGGTGATAGGAGTGGATGCCTTGTGAAGGACAGTGCACCTGGTGACAATCTCCTGGATGTACGTTTCTCTCTAAAGGGCAGTGTAGGGCTGTGCTTTGGGTAGGTTGAGAGGGCTCAGTGAAGTTTCCCTTCACTAGACGCTGACCTCGGGGTAGCCAGTGTGTCCTGTGTCCGGGTGTGGGATCTGGAGGTGTCCCGGCTGGAGGAGATGTCCCTCCGTTTGGAGCAATAACCCTTTGTCTCTTGTCTGTGATTCCCGGAGAAGTCCATTTGCTAAGTTTGTTTCTGTCTGTCACTTCCACTTACCTTGCTAAGCAGGTCAAGGCAGGAAAGGTCCTCAAAGAATTCGTCTTTCCTGTTTACTCTTGTGGCACCTTTGATACCAGATTCCTCCAGCGCAGCCTGGCCTGCCCAGTCCAGCGTGGTCCAGGTCTTCACCTTGGCCTGCCGGGCGACAGTGGTGGGATGCATCATTCCCGGTCACTCCTGGCCCCTTTCCTGTCCCTCTCCAGCACTTTATGTTCTCCCGGTGAAAGCCAGCTGACCAAAGATCTTCCCCTGACATGAATGCCTTGCCCAGCCTTTCATAGCTGCCAGATGGTAGCTGGTAACCCTAGGTATATGGCGTATTCATATTTTTCACGAGGATTATAGCCTACTTTTGCAGCTTATAAAATGGAAGCTCAGTGTTACAGTCATATCCTTCAGTCTAGAGATGCACCCTCTGTTTGATAATTAGGCTAATGTGATTTTTTCCCAGCTTCAGAGTGGTTTGAGTTGTTAATACGTATTTGCTTTGGCTAGTTAAAGAATCTTGTTTAACTTTTCAATTATGCTGTATTCATACCTGAGTAATATTTATGTGGCGTCTAAAACCTGAAATTGTATTTAAAAATACTCTGGAAAACAGGAGGCTGCCCGACTCCTCCATCACCTTGCAAACTTTCTCTGTCCCCTCCTCCCTTCAAGTACAGTTTTCTTTTGTTGATTCGTTCATTAAGATTTAGTACTTTTTATTTGAAAGACAGAGTTACTGAGACAGAGCTTACATCCACTGGTGCACTCCCCGAATGACCACAAGGGCCGCAGCTGGCCTGGTTCAAAGCAGGGAGTTCCAGGAGAACTAGCAAGGCACCAGGATCAAAGCACCATTGGTGTGAGCTATTGATAAGGAACACTACTTTGATTTAGGATAATTGGCTGATAAGCACAGATGTTCGCCCTGTATCAGCGAAGCACGAAAGCTCATCCAAGGACTCGCTGGGGGGAGGAGCGCACTGTGGCTGAGAGGCCCTCCGCTGCCTCGCTCCTGGAGCCTCTTCTCGACAGGATCCCACAGGCCTCCACTCTCCCAGCTACCCCGCTGGATGTATTCCGACAATTGATTACCATCCCACTGATTGGATATAAGGCTTCTCAGAGGGCACAAAAGAACGGGCTTCTACCAACATTTATTTATTTATTTTATTATTTTTTAAAGATTTATTTTATTTTTATTGGAAAGTCAGATATACAGAGAAGAGGAGAGACAGGAAGCTTTTCTGTCTGTGGATTCACTCCCCAAATAGCCACAATGACTGGAGCTGTGCTGATCCAAAGCCAGGAGCCCAGAGCCTCTTCTGGGTCTCCCATACAGGTGCAGGGTTCCAAGGCTTTGGGCTGTTCTTGACTGCTTTCCCAGGCCACAAGCAGGGAGCTAGATGAAGCGGGGCCTCCAGGATCAGAACCAGTGCCCATATGGGATCCCTACATGTCCGGGCGAGGGCTTTAGTTGCTAGGCTACCAAGCTAGACCCTATTTATTTTATTTTTTTATGAGTGTCCACACTGTTTAATAATTATGTTTTTATAAATGATGTTGAAATGTGCTCTCAATAAATCCTCTTGAGAGCCAGTTCATCCTCAGAATCAGGACTTTCTGGATGCTCCAATTTCATCCCATATTGCAGCTTCAGGTGTTTCTGTAGGTTTAAGAATTAACCGTATTTCAGTGTAATGGACAAAACTGCCAACTGCAACATCGGCATCTTGTGTGGGCTCCCATTCATGTCCCAACTATCCCACTACCAACCCAGCTCCCTACAAAGGCCTTGGAAAGCATCAGAGAATGGCCCAAGCACTTGGGTGCCTGCACCTGCGTGGGGCCTGAAAGCAACAGCTCCTGGCTCCCAGCTTTGGTCTTGCCCTGGCCATTGAGGCCTTCTGGGAAGTGAACCAGGGGATGGAAACATTTTAATCTTTGTGTTTCTCCCTCTCTAAACATTCAAATAAACAAACATTGCTTAAAAGAATTAACTGAAAAGATAAATGCAGATTCCTTAACTGTCATAGAAGATAAACCAACCTAAATATGTTCCAGCTTTTTTATATTTTAGTGTCAAGTATGACTTTAAATCCTAACAGGTATCGTTAATAGAGTATGTGAAGGAATTATTTAGCCCTAGAAAAAGTATCAACCACCTTTCTTTAAGCTTTTGAAATCAACATAGAAAGACATTAGGTAATGCCATTGTTAATAATGTATTTCAAAACATCACACTGACATCACGCCCCTTTTGATCTTGACACAAGCTGATTCAATTTATTTTCCATGAACTTGGATCCCAGTTTGGCCATATGCCGCTGTTTGTACAGCTCTGACACAATTAACGGATGGATGTGTGGCTTCATATGCTTGATGCCATATTCTCAATCCCAGTAAGACATAGCATGAGTGTTTTGAATGAAAAATTCCCAGTGGACTCTTGCCTTCCCGAATTATGCAGATTTGTAATGTTTTTCCTGGGTCAGACCTGTGTCATGCTATTGCTTGCTGTTAGCGTGTGTTTTCACAGACAGCAGCCCCCAACTCCCGCCTTACCACCACGTCCACAGGCTGACTTCTGCTCCACACAACCCTGTACTCCCCCAGGGATGCCACCCGCCAAGGCTGACCCCGGAAGCTGGGCCATGGGCCTCCTCTGAACCCCTGCTGGACATGCCAGCACACAGTGCCCCATCCTCACTGCTCAACCCTGAAAACTGTAAATATGTATTTTAAGCATGTGCCTAGAAAAAAGACTGTGACAGGGCTCAGTGCAATGGCTCAATGACAAAAATCCTTATCTTGCAAGCACTGGGATTCCATATGGGCACCGGTTCATGTCCTGGCTGCTCTGCTTCCTATCCAGGTCCCTGCTTGTAGCCTGGGAAAGCAGTTGAGGATGGCCTAAAGCCATGGGACTCTAACCACATGGGAGACCCAGAAGAAGCTCCTGGCTCCTGGCTTCAGATTGGGTCAGCTGTGGATGTTGTGGCCATTTTTGGGGAGTGAATCAGTGCATGAGAGATCTTTCTCTCTCTTCTTCTCTCTGTAAATCTGATCTGCCTTTCCAGTAAAAAATAAATAAATCTTTAAACCAAAAAGAAAAAACGAGTGCGGCAGACACAAGAAGCTAATTCTGCTTATATCCAGTTGGTTGCTGTGCAACACGGAGCAGACAGAAAAGGTCCCATTAAGTGGAAGCAACATTTCTCATCCCTCATCTACCAACTCGTTTTCCCTAACCTTAAATAGGATGGGTGGACAATCCTGTTGGTTTCCCCCATCATCTGTTTTCCTAAGTACCCTCCCCGAACCCCAACTACTCATTCTCTTCTAAAGGATCTGTTAAACCCAGTATGAAGGAGGAGAGTCAGGATGAAGAAGACATTCCCACTTGTAGCATTCCAGAGGTAGAAGAATGAAGGGATTCCTGGAGCTGTCTGGGGGTCCCTCTTGGGGTCCAGTCTTGGAAGCACACCACAGAGAGCATGACCAGTCTGGTGGCAGTGCAGCTAAGTCTGGGCAGAAAGAACCTGCAGCTCTGTCATGGTGATTCCTGGTCTGCAAACAGGGTGGGGAAAGGCTTGCTGCCAAAACCATGGGTTGCGTTCCTGTGTCAACATGATTGATGATTTCTTTTTTTTTGTTGTTTTCTAGTTATGAAAAACCTCCTCCTGGGCTCATCAAGGTGAGTGTGAAGCTGGTACCCTTGGTTATCCGTTTAGATCCAAGGTTCCTGCAAGACTGTCACACTGGGAAAAAGGGTTGTATAAAGGTTTACACCTCTGTTTGTGAAAAACTTGTGTCTCCCTCTGCAGATGCCAGACAGGCTTTAAATTGTAGCTTTAACACAAACCTGTGCCTTTATGGAAGCTTGGTCAGCCGTGTTCCCCCACCACTACTGCCGAGGAACCAGTGCAGGCCACACGTGTTCCCTGTCTGTGCCGCTGCTGTCCTCTCTGCCTGGTGACCGTTGCTTCTGGATGCTCTGCTGTCCCCTTGCCTTACCTGCCTCCTGCTCTACGGCCCTGCTGTGCGCCCTGCTGGTTTCATGTCTCCGCTGTGTGGGAAGCCCTCCTCCAGTGCCACAGTCATGCTGTCCAGGTGTCTCTGCCTGAGGGAGGCCTGGCTGTAGGACCCAGCTGCTGGGTTTGGCGATTGAGGGGTGAACCGGAGTGGGAACTGTCTGTCCCTGTTTCTGGTACTATTTGCCTCTCTGCCTCTCAAGTTAATGAATCTAAAAATTGGGTTTTTTTTTTAATTAAACTTTTTTTTTAAAAAAAGGAAATGTAAAAATAAAATAAATCTTTAAGGAAAAAAAAAAAAGCCTAGCACAGTGGCCTAGTGGCTAAAGTCCTCGCCTTGAACGTGCTGGGATCCCATATGGACGCCGGTTCTAATCCCAGCAGCTCCACTTCCCATCCAGCTCCCTGCTTGTGGCCTGGGAAAGCAGTCGAGGGCAGCCCAAAGCCTTGGGACCCTGCACCCATGTGGGAGAACTGGAGGATGTTCCTGGCTCCTGGCTTCGGTGCTCCTGGTGCAGCACCGGCCGTTGTAGCCACTTGGGGAGTGAACCATCGGACGGAAGATCTTCCTCTCTGTCTCTCCTCTTCTCTGAATATTTGACTTTGTAATAAAAATAAAATAAATCTTTTCTTAAATAAAAGGAAATGCCTTACTCATAAATGCAGTTACTCTATGAAATTGCCTCTCAGAGATAAAATAGGTATCACAGTAAAACAGGATGGTGGCCTTCAAGCAATAACTGGTTATTTTAATATAGCATGTGATTTCTCTTACTCCAGAAAAGAAAGCAAGAACTCTGGTATGCTGTGATTCTCACCTGGCCTCCCTGCACACAGTGAGAGGTCGTGAAGTGTTTTTCTCTGATCTTCCAACGGCAAAGGATGGGCACCTGCCTCACCTGCCATTTCCTCCCTACGCAGCCGTGTGGCTGCTCTGCTGAAGCTCCTCTTGGGTGCATTTATTTGCAGTTTGTCCAACTGGGTCTAACATGTCTTTCTCTACTTCTTGGGGGCACAGTTATGAATGACATTGGGACCAGGCTGCTCCAGAGTGGGTTCCGTTAGCAGGCCAAAGAGAAGTGCCATGCTTTTGTTTTCTCCTGCCACCGTGTAGTTTACATACTGTTTCCTTCTTTTAGGAAGATGAGACAAAGCCCGAAGACTGTATTCCAGATATGCCGGGCAATGAACATGCCCGGGAATTTCTGGCTCATGCGCCAACTAAAGGACTTTGGATGCCCCTGGGGAAAGAAGTCAAAGTCATGCAGTGTGAGTATGGAAGAATCTCAAGTAATACTCTGACGTGCAGATTCATGCCCGGTTTACAGAACTGCTTAATTTTTTGTTTTTTTTTTTTTACCTTTCTTATTATCAGCACATTCTCATAAAGTTGTTGTTGAACCTCCGCTTGCTAAATAGGGGAAGCAGGTGGCCAAGGAAAGAGGGAGAACAAAGCTTAAGCCCTGTATGTTTTTTCTGTTTTGTGGATCTGTTTATTTATTTATTGGAAAGGCAGAGTGAAAGAGGGAGTGAGATGTCCCATCTACTAGTTCACTCTCCAAACATTGAGACTGATGCCAGGAGCCAAGAACTCCATCCAGGTCTCCCGTGTTGGCAACAGAGACTCAAGTATTTGAGCTGTCATCCTCTGCCTCCTGGGATCATGTTAGCAGGAGGATGGATCGGAAGCCGAGCAGCCAGGACTGGAAGTGGTGCTCTGCTATGGACACTTCCCAAGTAGTGACTTAACCAACTGTGTCACAACACTTACTCCCTACGCAGCATTTTAAGCACTGCGCCACCCATCTGCCTGGTTTGTGACAGTTTTTGAAGTTGGTTGTTGTTTCTGCTTTCCGTGTACTGATCTCCAGTTCAACCCCCCCCACACCAGTTGTCCCCATGTGTGAGTTTTAAGTCCTTGGATTCACACACCTGCTTGAATTGGAATCTGTCAGTTTCATGCTTAAGTTTCCAGGGATTCTTTGAGCATCTGCTATAGAGTATGTCTGTGACCCCAGATTCAGCTGCTGAAGCCCTGTCTCTAACATAGTCCCATTTGGAGGTGGTACATTTAGGAAATAAAATTAGGGTACGGTGAAGCCATAAGGGCATTTGGTGTATTGGTGGAGTCGTGACCTGGAGCCATGAACCACACGTAGGTTCTCAAGTACGAGATATAAGCAGAGTAACTTAAGCTGAGGACCTGCTCCTTGGTCATTTTTTTTTAAATTGTATTTAATCATTTTTGCTTTATTTGAAAAATAGGACAGAGATTGTTTTCTATTTTAAAGAGTTATTTGAAAGGTAGAGTTAGTTACAGAGAGAGATCCTTCATGTGCTGGTTTACCCCTGCAGCTGGCAATGAGCAAGTGTTGGGAGCTTTATCCATGTCTCCCAGGTGGGTGCCACGGTCCAGCACATTTGGTCCATCTTCCACTGCTTCTCTGAGAGCATTAGCAGGGAGCTGGATCTGAAGTGGAACAGCTGAGACTGGAATCGGTGCTACAGTAGGGGAGACCGACATCATTAGTGGAAGCTTAACTTTTTACACCACAATGCTGGACTAGAGAGATCTTTTATCTGCTGGTAATTCCTTACATACTTGCAGCAGCCTGGGCTGGGCCAGGCCAAAGCCAGGAACTGGAAACTCAGTTCATATCTTTCACATGAGTAGTAGGGACCCACACACCTGGGACCTCCAATGAGGGGGAAGCTGGCATAAGAACAAAAGCCAGGATTTGAACCCAGGCATCTCAGTATGGGATGCAGGTGTCTCTAGCAGTGTTTTAACCACTCAACCAAAAGCCCACCCTCCTTGGGCGTTCGTGAAGGACCTGATTCTTTATTTTTGGAAGGGGATTCCCTTTGTTGTCACTTCTGAGGCATCTCTGGAAGGGAATAAAAGCAAAGGAGTGTCTGGGGCCATTCTGCAGAAATCTCCAGCTTGCTTTTTTTTTTTAATTAATTTATTTTATTACAAAGTCAGATATACAGAGAGGAGGAGAGACAGAGAGGAAGATCTTCCGTCCGATGATTTACTCCCCAAGTGAGTGCAACGGTCGGTGCAGCACCAATCCGAAGCTGGGAACCAGGAACCTCTTCCAGGTCTCCCACATGGGTGCAGGGTCCCAAAGCATTGGGCCGCCCTCGACTGCTTTCCCAGGCCACAAGCTGGGAGCGGGACGGAAAGTGGAGCTGATGGGATTAGAACTGGCGCCCATATGGGATTCTAACACGTTCAAGGCGAGGACTTTAGCTGCTAGGCCACTGTGCCGGGCCCCTCCTGCTTGCTTTTTAAAAGCTTGCAAACTACTATCTATTTAATGGGATGTTTTAATTTTATTTCAGTTTATATTTCTTTCCATTGATTTTGAAACTGAAAAGTTTTGTGTATTGAGCGGCTATATCAAGAAGTTGATTTGAAGCTTTAATGTTCCTGCCTTGTACCTCTGAGGGGCCAGTAAAGACCTAGGAATGCATTTATAGGGTCATCTGATCCACTCCCTTAAACAGCTACAGCAGCCAGATCTGGAACAGGCCAAAGTCAGGAGCCAGGAACTCCAACTCTGTTGCCCCTGTGTGAGGAAGAGGCCCAGGAACGCAGGTCATCATGCGCTGCCTTCTTGGCCACGTTATTGGGAAGGCGCATCTGCAAGTGGAGCAGTTGGGACTCAAACCGGCACTCCATAGTAGGCAGCTTAACCTGCTGTTCCAGAAACGCAGACCCCAGTACATCTCTGTGTATTCAGATGATCAGTATTTGTTAGGGGGCCCTAATAGTCAGCATTACCAACAATCTCCTTTATGTTTTGAACTTTGGAGTACAGTTGGAATTCCTAGGACTGCCCTTCCTTCAACAGTAATAAAATATTGAACAGACAGCACATCTTCTTGGTCCTCTACACGTGATGCAGGTTCTGTAGCACATCATACCCCTTCGGTTTCCCCATAAAGACACTGGTTTGACGTTAGATGGGGAAAATAAGGGTAGGGATAGCTCAGAGGCAATCAGTGAACTATCCAGACTTCATTTTTTTTTTTTTCTGGTAGTTTCCCACTTCCAGTCCTCCCATACAAATAAAAAAGGAGAACTTTGGCAGCACATTGTCTGTGGTGGCCAGCATGGAGCACAGCTGGCCACATTTACTCAGTTCCCAAACACAGAGTGTCACTCCATCTTATCACCCTCAGTTTCTTGATTTCCCTCCAACCCAGATGGCTGTGAAAGGATGAAACCAGGTGAGCAAGCGTCAGGGATTTCATGCATTCCTGCTTGGCTTTCCACCTGCTCGTAGACCTCAGTGCCTGGGGTCAAGACCACAATCAGTGAACATTCCCTGAAGGATGATGTCTGCTTACTTTGAAACACACCTAAATAACGGCAGTGACTTCTCCATGCTGTCCCTCCTCAGAGCTTTCTGCTGCTTCTAATAGACCTCTTGAACAGTACACACTCTCTCTGCAGATAGTGTTGAATTAGGATTCTGTTGATACTGACACTTGAAGAGAATGTGTGATTTTGTTTACAACAAAGTGAGGACATTCATGTAAAGGTTGATTGAACCTGAGAAAGAAGCTGTGATGTTTTGGTATCTATTCCACAGATTGTACTGAAACACTCTAAAAAGGAGAACTGACCTTTTGTGGTACGATTGTGTTGGGCAGCTTCATTAATCTTTGTGAATGGAATATTTCTGAAGCTACAGCATGCAAAGATGCTAGGGGAAGCAGCCAGTTAACTCACATAGTCTGGAGTGTTACTTTGGTGGCTCATCCACTGATTGTATCACACCCCAGTTCTGCTATCAGTTCTGCTCTCAGAACTGGGGTGTGATGAAGAAAACCTTTCAGCCAGTTGACTGGAATGTTACCTCCACTCAGTCAGACTGCTTGCTTATACCAGTATTTCCCTTCTTTCTTTTTAGGTTGGCGTTGCAAACGGTATGGTCACCGAACAGGCGACAAAGAATGTCCTTTCTTTATCAAAGGCAACCAAAAGTTAGAACAGTTCAGAGTAGTAAGTAAACCCATCCAGTGTCCACTTACATTTACGAAATTGTGTATATCATCCAGCCAGGGAGCCGCCCATTAGCTGAACAGTCATCCAAGACACAGTTCCCAGAAGCCTTTTGGCTTCTCATCTAACTTCACCTGCTAAATGGCATTTGTGTAATAACCCAGCTTATTCTTACAAAACTAATTTCTATTGAAATGTTCTGTTTTTATACGTTTGGAATAGTGTTTCTGTTTCTGAAGCAGGCACTGTTACCAATTCAACCCCATTTTTGTTAACTTACATACAAAATCCTCTTTCTTGACTGTAATTGGGATTTTGAATTCGAGTGTGAATTCCCCATCCAGTAACTGCTTCTGCTATATGAACTATGCTGTGTGTGAACACACTGAGATTATCAGTCTGAAATAGAGTAACTGCCATTTGCCAGCCTTTTCTAAATAGTATAAAACTAGCTTAATGTTACACCTGAAACAACTAAAAACGTACTCTTAAACTGACAAATCTACTTCCAAGAGTATACCCTAAGGATTGAACAGAATATTCATATATACGTAAGTTTATATGACTAATGTTCATTATTACATGTTGACTTAGGAAACTATCATAATGTAATACAGAAATTGCTTAGACATTAGGAGTTAAGTTTTAGAAGGATGTACAATGTTTTGGGAAAATATTCATGATTACAAACATGTAAAACAGTAGACTTGTGTGTACAGAATACAGTCCAATGTATTCATAAATTATGAATCATGAATGGAAGAACTATACCAAATCATAACACTAGGTATCCCTGTGTGTTGGCATAATTTTTAAAATCATTTTTCATAATATTTAAATTTCTGCTATATACATATTTCTTTAATTGAGCAGATTTGCTTTTCATATTTCCCCACATGTTTTTTTTTAAGTTTTATTTTTAGTGGAAAAGTAGATACACAGAAAGAGACAGAGAGGAAGATCTTCCATCTGCTTGTTCACTCCTCAAGTGGCCACAATGGCCACAGCCAAGCCAATCCGAAGCCAGGAGCCTCTTCCGGGTCTCCCACGCGGGTGCAGGGTCCCAAGGCTTTGGGCCGTCCTCAGTTGTTTTCCCAGGCCATAAGCCGAGTGCTGGATGGGAAGTGGAGCAGCTGGGATATGAACTGGCACTCATACAGGATTCCAGTGGGTGCAAGGCTAGGATGTAGGCGCTAAGCTATTGTACTGGGTCTCCCCCATCTATTCTTATGTTTAAGCACACAGAGGCACTTAAACTATCTAAATAACACAATACACTAACTTTACCAAACAAAATGAGAAGCTCTATAAGTTTTTGCCACGAAATACAATCTTGTCTCCCCACCCCCAGAAATTGGTTCGCTTCAAATAGTTTGATGTATGTATTTTCAGACTTCTTTACGATAATAAACATGTATTTTTATGACTTTTAAGTTGATATTTCTTACATATCATTTTTTGAAGACATTTGTTTCACTTAACAGTATCCTTGGTTATCTGCTTACAAAGAACGAAAAGAATGAACATACACAGCTCCAAACCAGAGTACTGTTGCACAGTTTCACTCTGCCTCAGTTTATGCAGTTGTTTCCCAGCACATAATATTGAATTATTTCTTGTGTATTTCTAGTTGGAAAATTTTTTCTTATAGCTTTCATAGATTTGCAGTGATTTAAGTCTTAAAGTGGTTACAACAGGTTGGACTTTATAAAGCTGTGTTAAATAGTAAAGCTACATGTGTTGAGTAACAACGGGATGGATGTAGTAGTTTTTAATTTCTGTTGTTGTTAAGTATTTTTTATTGAATTCACATTTATGCAGTCTAATGGAAACCTTAACCCTCTCTAACCCTTCAGGCACATGAAGATCCCATGTATGACATCATACGGGAAAATAAAAGACATGAAAAGGATGTAAGGTGAGGCCGTCATGATCACAACAATATCCTCTTACATGTTGGGGACAAGCATACTGATGGTAGGGGAATGGTTTGATAAATACGGTTCTTTAGTTGTGAAAGACTGAGTGATGAAGTGTCAAAGTAGAATAAGCCAGTGTCAAGGACCTGAGCAGGCCAGCCTCTTGCTACTTGCATTAGCTTCAAGCAGTCGGTCTGATGTCATTCATTACACCACTGGTGTTGATGTGGCAAACACCCTCAGCGTCTGCTCATGCCATGCAGCAGTTCCTTTCCTGGGATTAGAGTATCTCAACTGTGATACTTTTTTATTTTTAATTTTAGATGATTTTTAAAAATTTTTAAATATTTTTTGTTTAGTTTATTTTTAATTTTTGTTAGATGATATTAATGTAGTTGATCAGAATGGGATGGATCAAGGCTTAGGGAAAATTGGGCGTGATCATCATTTCCTAATTTTCTGTTTCTCCTTGTTTTGGGGGTGGAGAGGGGTAAACTCATTTTTAAACATGATTAAATGAAGGGGGAAATGGGAATATATATTTTTTAAGCTGGTTACATTGCATTGCAATTATTCTTTATTTAAAGTCTTATATTTTGCAAGATTAGTTAATTTATTTGAAAATCACAGTTACAAAGAGAGAGAGGTCTTCTCCAGGTAGCTGCAACAGCTCGGCCTAAGCCAGACCAAAACCAGGAGCTTCCTCCAGGTCTCACACACAGGTGATAGGGGCCTAAACACGTGGGTCATCTTCCTCTGCTTGTTCCCGGCCATGAGCAAAGAGCTAGATTGGACGTGGAGGAGCTTGGACAGAGCTTGCATCCATATGGGTTGCTCTCATGACAGGCAACTGCTTTGCCCTCTGTACCACAATACTGGACCCTGAATTATAGTTGTTAGGGAAATAAATTTCTATTGACATTGAGCAACAGAGGAATGGTTAACAAAATGGGCTCCATTATAATTTTAAGGGCTGTGGCTTAGCACTATGGCAGAGCAAGGTAAGCTGCCACTTGTGACACTGGCATGCTATAGGGGCATCAGTGTGTGTCCCAGCTGCTGTACCTCCAATCTACCACCCTGCTAATGGCCTGGGAAAAGCTGCCGAAGATTGCCCAAGTACACGGGCCTCTGCCACACACGTAGGAGACCCAGATGAAGCTCCTGGCTCTTAGCTTCAGCCTGGCCCAACTCCAACATTGTGGTCATCTAGGAAGTAAACCAGTAGAAGGAAGATACCTCTCTAACTCCTGCAAAATGAATAAAGCTTAAAAAAAAAAAAGGTACAGTGGCTACAGTTATGTGATATAGGCATTTATGGAGACAAGAGGGAGGAAACAATACAAAGGGACTTCGGAAAAGTTCATGGAGAAATTAAGTTAAAAGACAAAGAAAAAAAGAGAAACAAACTTGGTTTCTCACCACAAGCTCCATCAAGATCAGAAATACTTTTGTGATAGTTTCAACCATTTAGCCCATGCTTGATGAATTGACAGTCCTAGGAAGAGGCCTTGTTAATATAGTGTTTTGTTGTTGTTATTGTTACATTATTAGCTAAAGAGAACTGAATGCCCTTTGAAGATTCTGTTATTAAGCTTTGGAAACAAAAAGGAAGTCTAAGGGAGCCAAATTGGGACTGAGTTCGATACTTAATGTTTTCCCATTGAAGCTCAGAAACAAGAGCGTTTTCCCATTGAAGCTCAGAAACAAGAGTGTCCTTGTGTGTTATGGTAGAGGACTCTTCTGCCAGGGTTTCCTGGATCTGTCTTAAAGCACAGGCTTTAAAGTTTTCACAAAACTCTGATCGTGTTAACACTCTTTAGTTCTCTAAAGGGTCAACAAACAAAATGCCTGAAGCCACAGCACTGTTGGCATGGCCTTTGGGCTTGTTTGTGTGTTTTTTTTTTTTTTTTAAGATATTGTTATTGGAAAGGCTGATCATATTTGCAGAGAGGAGAGACAGAAAGATCTTCCATTTGCTGAATCACTGCCCAAATGGCCACAATAGCCGGAGCTGAGCCAATCCGAAGCTAGGAGCCAGGAGCCTCCACTCAGTCTCCCAAGCAGGTGCAGGGTCCCAAGCAGGGAGCTCAATAGGAAGTGGAACAGCCAGGACATGAACAGGTGCCCATATGGGATCATTATGCTGATTGTAAGGTTAGGATCCAGCCATTGGACTATCACACCAGGCCCAGCCTTTGCTTTTGACTTTGGACCAGTTCCTTCTCAGTAAAAGCAGTTCCATTGCTTTTACTGCGCTTTAAATGAGTCAGTCCAATGAGTCAGATCACTTGGGGGCATTTCTGTCATAAACTTTTAATTTATTTGAAAGGTGGAGAGAGAAATAAAAAGAGACTACTGCTACTTGTAAGTTCACTCAAAATGTCCACATTGACCAAAGCCAAACCTAGTCGCCAGGAACTCCCTCTGTAGTCTATTTTGGTGATAGGAACCGTATTAAGTACTTGGTGCATCAAGACCACCTCCTAGGATCTGCATTGGCAGAAGACTAAAACACAGAGCCAGGAAAACAGGTACTCTGTTAGACCAAAGTATAGGTCTGTTCAATGTAACAGTATTCTTAAATGCATCCATGCTTTTTCCATAGTGTGCATTTTCCTGAATTTTCTGAAGATCTCTTTTATAAGTACCGTGTTTAATGAAATACCTGTGTGTATTTCCCCTTCCCTTATTCATTTACCTAAATGATTTTCTAAATGAAACTTAAAAATCACAGTTCAGTAATCAATGTCAATGTCATGTGTTCAGGATACAGCAGCTAAAACAGTTGCTGGAGGATTCGACCTCAGATGAAGAAGGGAGCAGCTCCAGTTCCTCAGACTGTCAGGAGAAACACAGGAAAAAGAAGAAGAAAGAAAAACATAAGAAAAGGAAGAAGGAAAAGAAAAAGAAGAAGAAACGGAAGCACAAGTCTCCCAAGTCCAATGAGAGTTCAGACTCTGAGTGACGAGACCTTGACGCGTCCCACCTTCTCTTGGCAAAAGCCAAAGAACAGTGGGAGCCACTGCCCAAGGCGACAGGACACAGAGAGAGGAGGGTCTCGGTGTCACAGCTGCCTCGATGCATGCAGGATAGCCTGTTCGGTGTCCTTCCCCCTGTTGGTCATCCGAGTGTGCCATTCCTGTAGCACAGCCTGCAAGGTGCAGGACTAAAGCATTAAACGAAGCTCTTCTGAGCTCTGGGACAACTTTTGCCCTCCATAGTGGGGTGACGTGAGTCCCATGGACTTCATCATTGACCCTTCTCCGTTGAGGATAATTAAAGTTCATGACATATTTTTTAAAGGTAGTTATTTACTTATGTATATGTACATGTGGTCCAAATTTAAAATTTTATATGGTTTGGTTATGAAAACCCTTCTTCCTCTCCCATCATTGTTTCTAGTTTCTTGTGAAAGCTTCCTGAAATGGCTCATATTTCACAAATTGGGATATTTCTTACATTAACTCTGTAGACATTCACTTGCACAGTTACTTCTTGAACTTTGCTATGTAAAGTGATTGTCTTTACGTGGAGCACAAGTGGCCTTGCTGCCCTCCCTATTGAAGGTGTGTGTTTATATTCATCTGACATGATTTGCTAATTTGGGAAAGTGGTGATTATCACAACAGTGAAAAGATATTTTTTTTGGTAAGATTTTTGTATTATTATTTATTTTTGTTAGAAAGTCAGATATATGGAAAGACAGGAAGATCTTCCATCTGATGATTCACTCCCCAAGTGGCCGGAGCTGAGCTCATCTGAAGCCAGGAGCCTGGAGCTTCTTCTGGGTCTCCCACACGGGTGCAGGGTGCCAAGGCTTTGGGTCATCCTCAACTGCTTTCCCAAGCCACAAGCAGGGAGCTGGATGGGAGGCGTGGCCACCAGAACACAAACCGGAGCCCACATGGGATCCTGGCGTGTGCAAGGTGAGGACTTCAGCCTCTAGGCTAAAGCACTGGGCCCAACAGTGGAAGGAACTTACTTGGAAAAGGCTTGCACCTTAGTGCCTAAGTTTTAAGATTTTTCACAGAGTAATTGACTCAGGAAGCATTATATAGGAGAGTTACTAGACATAATCAGCTACCCACAACCAAATCCCCACTTGCTTCCTGCCCTTGTGGCCCGAACATAGCCCACCATGCTCTTATAGTTTAGACTGGGCCACAGCACAAGCTGCTCAGCAGGTTAGGATGCTTGCTGCCCATAACTAGAAGAGAAAAAATCTGTTTTCTTGAGCCAGATAGACCAGATCATGTCCAAAAGCAAGACTGAATATATCCAGTACCACGAGTTGCTGTTGTTGGCATTCACTCATATTCCAAAAACTCTTTGCTTCATATTTCCTGCCTGTTTTCCTAAAGAACAGCCTGTCCAGTCCCAGACTAGATGCTCCTACAGCTCTCATGGGTCCGTGTTCCCAGTGCTGGCCTTGGAACAGTACATCAGGAACAATCAGCCCAGGTTGGAACGACTTGGATTTCTTGTGAAATTCAAGGCCAGTTGATGCTGCCGAGCCAGACACTTGCCTGTGTCATCCTCAGCCTGCACAACTTGGGCCATGGGTCTCCTGCCATATGTCTTAAGTATTTCCTACCTGGTTCCTGCCTATTTGTGGTAAGACTTTTATGCTATAAAAAGAATCTGCATCAATGGTTGTCAAACCTTTGGGACAGCCAAATCAAATGGAGTTCTCCACTCAATCAACTTCCAGAGTTTCCCACTCTGCCGTAAGACTGAGATGGATATGTGATTTGGCTTGATCCCAAGATCCCAAAGGTGGTTAATGCTGTTGGTTGGAGAGCTCCTCTGGAGAACCAGTGCTCTAGCCCTTTCACCTTTTCCCCGGACATTCCTCCCATTCCTGCTTTAGGTGGAATCCCAACCAGTCCTTGCAGTTTAACTGCTCTCCCATCTCCCTCTACTTTCTTCCTTCTTCCTTCTGGCAGTTTCCACAGTCCATCACTTCAGCCTGTCATGTCTCTTGACTTTGGATCCTTTTGCATGAATTTTAAACAATAACAAAGTGAGGGGGTGGGTGTGGCGGCTACTTTTTAAATCCTCTGTTCCTCTGCCTGGTCTCCTGCAGAATCCCACAGTCATGCAGATCAGTGCTACTAAAATTCATCCCTTCCAAATTCCACTCAAGACCATCCAGAAAGCCAACTAGTACATCCAGCATTTGTGAGACAGCTGTTCAGATCCGCTTCCCCACACCTCGCCTTCAGGAACCACACTGTCCTCTACGGAGGACCATGAGTGAATGCCCTCAGCTCTCCCTCCCTTCACCAAGGTGACTGAGCCATCACCATCATCTTGACTAGTGGGGCATTCTGACAGGCAGGATTCCAAAATGGCTCTGTGACTTCTCCCTAATCTTAAGGTCTGTTGATGTGATGGATTTCACTAACATGATCTGTTCACTGTGCAAGATGAGGGGAAGTAGACAACTGCTATTCCCAATCAAAGTGCATGAGCCTTTTTAAAACTCCAGCATTTTCTCTGGCCTGGTAACCCGAGAGGAGAGGAGACAATGACCAGAGATTCTGCATGCCTTCCCTGACTGTGATGATAAAGATCAGTAGGCCATGCAGCAAGGAAGGCAGCAGTCTTTAATTACAGGCCCCTGGACGACAGCCAGCAGGGAAATGGGACTCTCACTGCTGTAATGAAAGTCTGCCAACCTCAGTAACTGGATGCATAGTCTTCCTCAGAGCCGCCAGTTAAGAGCCCACACATGCTGCCCCCCTTAGTCCTGGTCCTGTGAAGAGGCCGTAACCAGAGAGGAATGGCCATGAACTCAAAGAACTGCTCCCTGATACACAGAGCTATTCCTTGGGATGAGGTGGTAATGCCAGGACTAACTGGCAGCACTTTCATGCTGCTAGCTCTCAAGCAATGAGCCATGCTTCGACAGTCACCCCTAAGTGTAATAGCGAAGTCAGTGGGGTAATGTACAGGGCCCACAGTGGTGCCATTAGCAGCCTCAGACGTGCAACGTGGGGGAGCAGGGAGAAATAGCATTCCATAGAACTCATGATCACTGGCTCCAAACTAAAGTAGGGCCCGCAGATTGGTTTACGAGCAATGTTAGCTCTGGATGTGAAAACACACAGTAAAAAGCGGTTGGCAAAGCAAAACATAAGATCAAAATGGGGACAAAGGTTAGTTATGGACCAATTTGAGCTTTTTTTTTTCCTTAAGATTTATTTATTTGGGCCTGGCAGCAAGTCTTCGCCTTGAATGTGCCAGGATCCCATATGGGCACTGGTTTTAATCCCATCAGCTCCACTTCCCATCCAGCTCCCTGCTTGTGGTCTAGGAAAGCAGTCGAGGACGGCCCAAAGCTTTGGGACCCTGCACCCGTGTGGGAGACCTGGAAGAAGTTCCTGGATCCTGGCTTCAGATCAGCATAGCATCAGCCGTTGTGCTCGCTTGGGGAGTGAATCATCGGACGGAAGATCTTCCTCTCTGTCTCTCCTCCTCTCTGTATATCTGATTTTCCAATAAATAAATAAATCTTAAAAAAAAAGATTTATTTATTTGAAAGGTAGAGTTACATAGAGAGAGAAAAATGAAGTCTTCCATTTAACTGGTTCACTCCCCAGATTGCAGCAACAGCCAGGGCTGTGCCAAGCTGAAGCCAGGAACCCAGGGCTTCTTCGACTCATCCACATGGGTGCATGGATTTGCTTCTCCCAAAATTTGGGCATCAAAGTGGTACCTGGGAACCAAGCCCATGGGCACCAAGAGATGACTGGACTTGTTTATAGGAAAGGCTATTTATTTATTAGACAGACTCCTTCCAATAAAGAAGGTTAAGACATAAAACATTAAATATATAATTGGATTCATAGAAATGTTTAAATAATTGCTTATAGGGAAATTTCTTCAATAACCTGAATCAAATCATGGAAGTCTATTCTGAATAAATTTTCCAAGAACCACCTGCAATATAATTTATGCAAATAGGCATTTGCCAGTATTCCCTGATTGAACAGAATAGGCAAAACAAAACTGGGAAACCAAATCACTGGTTGTGATGTTCACATCCCACATGGGCGCCAGCTCCTCTCCTGGCTGCTCCACTTCCAACCCAGCTCCCTTCTAATGGCTTGGGCAAAGCAGCAGAAGATAACCCAAAGCCTCTGCCAACACATGGGAGACCCAGCTGGAGCTTCCAGCCCCTGGCTTAGGCCTGGCCTGGCCTGACCCTCGCCATTGCAGCCATCTCTATAATGAGCCAGATAAAAGATCTCTCTGTCTCTTTGACTCTCCTCCTCCTTAAGTAGGAAATAAATAAACAAATCTTTGGTAAAAAGAACTTTTTAATAGCAAAATAAACCACTGCAAAGCATGAATTTATCTCTGCAAGCGTAACCAACTTAAACAGCAATTGTGTACTACCTTTAATTCTCACACTTTGTGATCACATGTGAAGCCGTAAGTGCGAACTGCTGGACACCTCAGCTCTCTAATGCCTCTGGTAAGTCAGGTGAGAAATGAAACACTTGGGTTGGGCTAATTCTCTCTTCCAGGATATCTGAGTGACAATAATAAAAATTTCTGCTTTCAGCAACCTAATGATTCTGCTTTCTAAGCTTTTTCCCATGGGTCTGTCAAGGCTAACAAACATATTAAAATAGATAACAAGGAAATCGGAAGGGGACAGCACAATGCCTCAGTGGCTAATCCTTCACATGCAAATGCCAGCATTCCATATTGGTACCAGTTCATGTTCTGGCTGCTCCACTTCTGATCCAGCTTTCCTCCCTGGGAAAGCAGTACAGGATATCTCAAGTCCTTGGGACCCTACACCCACGTGGGAGACCAGAAAGAAGCTCCTGGCATCCTGATTCAGATCAGATCAGATCAGCTCTGGCCACTGCAGCCATTTTGGGAGTGAACCAGCAGGTGAAAGATCTTTTCTCAAGTCCCTCCTTCTTTCTGTAAATCTGCCTTTCAAAAAAAAAAAATTTTTTTTTAAAAAAAGAGAAAATGAGAAAGGCAGAGGAAGAGAATCTTGGCATTCATCCCAGCAGTGTAGATATCTACAGAAGATTGGGGAGGACAGTAAAGCGAATTAATGACATTGAGCCAAAGGTATTAACCCAGCATTATGGAAATAGGTGATCCAAATGGACCTTCTCACAGTCCCCAGACGCCAGAAAGTGCCAAACAAGCAGGCTGTCTTTTCCACAAACTGGAGGAGTTAAGAAGTTCAAAGTGGAGAATGAAAAAGCTGCACTGGATTGGTCCGGATTTACCTACTGACATTTCAACAAATTCATGAAGATAAAACTTC